AATTCAAAAGTACTCTTTTACATTTTCAATTCAAAAGTATTCTTTATATACCTTCAATTCAAAATTACTCTTTTAAATTTTCAATCCAAAAGTATTCTTTACGCTTTCCAGAATTCGAAAAACGGTGTTCCAGATTTTTCTAGCCAATTCCCCGGTTCTCGTCCGTTTTCTTCAGAACGAATTACAAACGATGGGACTCGATGTATCCCGGTCGCGTGCATTGTTTGTCGATCCAATCGGGAACGACGCTAGCCGAGATTTTCCTCGTGGCGCACATCTATCCGCCGCGGCCAGCGTACCAGATTATTTTTATTCTTTTTTTTTCCGGTGCCGCACGCGATCGGATGATATAAGAGCAATCTCGCCGAGATTACGTAAACCCGGCATTACTTGTTAAATGCAACGTGACGCGGCCAGCACGCCTCTCCGTCCGACGATCCTGCGTTGACCTTTAGATTCCGAGCGCATCCATCGCGGTTCTTTACCCTTTCGAATGTAACCGAACCGACGCTAATCTGCCTTCTCCCGAATCGCATCTGTGGATCCATGACCATCTCGATCGCTCGAATCGCTCTTTGAACGAATTTAATGACTCAATGATTGTTGAAAGTCCTGGGCCACAAAAGTCGCAGAAAATCGTTTGCGAATGTCCGTGAAAAATAAGAAATCTGCACGGTTCCCTGAAGCCAAAGATTGCTGGCTGGCTAAAGGTCGATTTATGTTATCCGTTCAGGCACGAAACGTTTACATCACGATTCGACTCGGGCAAATGCATCTAGTATTTGTATCGCCGGACCACGTTCGGCAATCGCCAGCCGCAAGAAGTCTTTCCTGCAGTAACTGTCGATTGAAAACGTTTCCCATTTATCTTCAGAAGATCTGTGCCGCATACCGCTATTATCGCATGACGAAAACCTTTTGTTTTTCGCTACGCATATTGTCCGAGATCGTAACGTTACACGTTGCCGTCTCGTTTACGGCTTTTTGCCTGAACTAAGTATACATCATACGGACGTGTTCGTTCGAGTACGTTCGGTCACGTGTCGCTTCAGGCGAAACAATGTTTCAGAGGATGCCGGTCGTCGTACCGTCCGAAACAAGTCATATCCGAACCGATCCGTAACACTATATACGAGGTGTCCCAGATCGAAATCATGAAACTCCGTGCGCATGTTCAGGTGGCCATACTGATCAAAAAATGTTCGATATGTCATAGATCGATTCGACTTCGTTTTCGAGATTCTGAAAGCAAAGTAGCACGAAACAGATATATGCACGAAGAAAATACGGGCAGATTCCTAGGTACAGTCATTCACAAAAGTGTTCGTACATCTTTTAAAACGCAATAATCTTTTTAAAACTGGACTAAGTGTCTCGAATTTTTTTTAAAATGATAGCGGGACTAGTCTACCAGACGATGATCACCAAAATGCTTTTTTAAACATTTTCTGTCACTTGGAATGACAAAAAGTAAATAAAAACTCTCGCTTTCTAACTTTTTTATTCGACCCTATAACGGAAATTTAAAAAATTCTTCTCACAGATCTCGGCAATATTATTAACTATATATTTTATCGAAATTGGTTGACGTTGTTATGAATTACAATAAATTAGCAGCAAAAATCGCAGTTTTGTCACAATTTTGACCAAAAAAACAACTGGAAGAAATCTGCAGTTTTTTAAATCTTTCAACGCCTGCTGCAACTTTCGACACCCATATAAGTTACCGAGATCTACGAAAGGCATTTTTTAAATTTTTGTTGTAGTCCCAGATAAAGAAGTTAAAAAACGAGAGTTTTATATTTCTTTTCGTCATCCCAAATACACAATAGCAAAATTAAAAAGAGGCATTTAATCATCATCTAGTAGATTAGTCCCTCTATCATCTAAAAAACAATTCAGATAATTTAGTTGAGTTTCAAAGAAGTTACCAAACTAATTTTCGTACATCGTGAAACTTGTGCGAAGCTTCTCCGTTGAAAATCGGCGTGTATCGGTGAACGGGGTTCCCTCGTAAGGCGCGTAATCCGGTGACTGTTCGAATGAATTTTTATCGCGCTAGTTTGTATCGGTCGTGGATGCGACGACAGATCCTCCTTGAGCCTTGTCTCTGCAATTGGCAATCTCGCGGACCGCCTTCGGCCGGGATCCTTGAGCGCTCGAAACGAACGATCGCCGCTTTACGACCACGGCCCCGTAAGTGGCCGAGTAAGGACCAATTTAAACTTCCGCGGACAGAGTCGGCCGTCTCTTATCTCTTCCTGGTTGCTAGCCCGTAAAGAGATCGCGGACGAATCTATCGCAACTATCGCCGGAATCCTCCGTCCGCGTTTCCCCGGCTTCGCCAGTTTATCATCTTCAATTTTCATCGTTTTACCAGGAGTCCCAGCGGCAGACCGCTTTGTCTTTGCGCGCGTAATTCGGAAATGAAATAACTGGAATCAAGTCGGGCAACCGGAAAGAGAGATTTTAACGCTCCCCCAGAGGCTGTTGGTGTCCTCGTCGGAAAACCGTGCCGCAGCTGGTCCATGATGGATGCGAGGAGGGAGCCGCGACGCGGCCCGCAATCTCTTTCCATTCCGCGACGTTATTTTCCGTGCAATTTGGCAGCGGTTGTCATTTTTCCGAGCTGGTCTTCCTCCGGTAAAATCAACCGCAAATTGCGCCCAGCGTTATCCTTATCGCCGCGTCTGGCGAACGGACTGTTATTTAACATTTAACCCTTACCCTTACATTTTTGGAGCGGAGCGCCTGAGATAAAGGAAGTCTTAGTTTGAGCGGAAAAGATTACACGTCCTTGTGAATGCATTTGATATTTTATTTATTTTATAAATATACATTTTCCTATTGTAAATAAAAGATACATTTTAAATTTTTCAATTCACCATGGTGCGACATCTTTGGTAACAATCTCCCATGTTTATTCTGGGTTTGCTTGGACAAGTGTGACAGTATTCACTTTGCCAAATAGAGTTACCAGATATTTCTTTCAAGTGTAGAACATTTTCCGCGTAATTGTTGGTTTCCTTTATAATTTCATTTACCAATTCGTCCGTGAAAAATAATTTAAAATATGTAGCAATACACTAAAAGGTATTCTATCTGGAATATCTAATTCCTCCGTAACATCACGCCATTCGTCTAAGTCTTGTAACGAATCTTCGCTTTCACTTTCAATAATTCTCATTCTTCGTCTCTTTAATAGTATAATTTCGCTACTACTACTCGAAGTGTCAGAATCATAACCAACATTGTCTTCCACAATGTCTTTTAACTCTTCAAAATCAAATGCGTCTTCGGTATCACTCTCGGCTCTAAATTCTCATCGTAATATTTATTTGTCTCCATGTTGCTAACCATAGAAAAGGTCAAAAAAT